CCCAAGGCTGGCCACATCCCCAGCCACTTTTATTTTTTATTTTATTTAGAGGCAGGGTCTCACTAAGTTGCTTATAGCCTCACTAAATTTCTGAGGCTGGCTTTGAACCTGCAATCCTCCCACCTCAGCCTCCCAAGCTGCTGAGATTACTGGCACGCAACACCACACCTGGAAATGTTAAAAGAATATTGCTCACTGACATGTAGTCTGAATTTTATCTTTGTGTTAATAACTTTAGATATCATAATTTAGCAAATTTACATTTGAGAATTAGAGTCTGTTGTTTAACAATTATGAAAAATTTGGGGGAAAAAAGGATATGTGAATGATATCTTTGACTCTACACTTAATTATACACCTTTGACTAAAATCGAGACCTCATTACTGGGACCTCTCCGAAAATAAAGGAAATTCTTCATGCTGTCAACTTTTATTCTTTACGGGCACCTAAGAAGAAATACTTCCCTGAAATGCAATTTCTCTTCTAAACCCAAACTCATTTTAAACATTCCCTCTGTATTTGTAACCCTCTAGTGCCACCTTGTCCTGCCCTCTTTTAACCAAGTGTAGTTTCCTGTCTGAAATTAGTCTCTTTTCTATCCATACACTCATCAGCTCTGATTCCTTTTCCTTGTTCCCTGTGATAATTTTTCCTGTTGTAATGATCTTATTTCATTTATCCAACTAATCTCAACCATTTGCTAAGAATATTTTTGCTACTTTCACTTTCATATTCTACAGTCTATGCTTTGTTCCTTATAGGAAAACTCACAGCAAAACATTAGAACACACATCAGTCATCTCATTTCCCGGCCCTAATTTTTATTGTTGTTGTACTGGAGATTGAACCCAGAGCCTCACACATCCTAGGCAAGTGCTCTACTACTGGGCTACACCCCTCACCCTGCAAGCTCTAATTTTTAACAAAATCAATTATGATTATAAGTGACCAAAGTTTTTTTGAATGGATGATTGAATTAATAAGTTATAGATTTCATCTTGTTAGCAATGCTTCTTTTTACTAATATTGATTATCTCTAGGCATTTATTTCACGATTGTGATTTCTTCAGATGAACATTAAGAACTTGGCTATTGTCTTTTCTATGAATATCTTAACAATATCACTCTCTTATTACACTGTCCAATAGAAAAATAATAAAAGGAAAACTTAAAACAAAACAACCATATATATATATATATATAATCATTTTTTTAACATTATCCATTAATGTGAGTTTTCATATCATATTACAATAAAAGCTTCTATATCATAAATTTCTCTTATGTGGAGGAAAGCACTCATGCCTTCATCAAGAATCTGATTGAAATTCTTTATAAAAATGAGGTATATTTACTTAGCTCTGGAAAGTTTAAAAGAGTCATGGCATTTTATTATTTTAAGGATTCATTTGTATGCTATAGAAGCTAGCATGGTAAGAAACAATATTCAAGTTTTGTCCAAAACAGTTTTAAATTTCTGAAATTTCTTTTGCTATTTAAAATTTTAAAACTCAATTATTTTTAGCCATGATGCATTTAATTATTAATTACCATGAACTCAAGTAACTGTAGTAGATCTTTCAATAGATTGAATAAGGCATTTGTGCCTTCCCTTTCAGAAAAGGGTAAATGAAAACAAAACATTTTATGTTGGGAATTTGATTAATAGAAAAATTTTGAGAAAATCTTAAGTGTAATTATCTATCATCACTACAGCTAGACTCACTAGCGACATTCATGGATCAAAAACATTAGATATTTTTGTCATTTAATATTGAGAGAGGAAAAAACAAAGACCCGAGAGAGAGAGAGAGATGACCTGAGAATCTTTTCTTTCTTAAAATTTAAAAAAGTCTAAACAAAATTGTTGGGTAATCTTATTTTAGAAATTTAAACTCACTCTACTTATTTGTTTCTCTGAATTTGCTTAATCAAAATTTAAATTTTGTACCATTACCAGATTTTGCTTCCCAAAATTGTGCTTTTATGGTAGCTGCAGTCTATTTAACATTAAACAAATCTAAAGTACTTTTTAATTTCAACAGTAGGAATACGTTCTTTAAAAATTGAAAATTATTTTATCATCATACCTGTTAAATTTGCTTTAGTTTTCAAGGGTTGATGAATTTGCAAATCCTTTAAATGAATCAGAAATTCCTAAATTCTTTAACTGAGTCTCTTTAAAAATCCACAGTAACTCTGTGTCCAGACAGGGTTGTCCCTTGAATTACTGTAGCAATTTAAGCAAATACAATCTGGTTGGAAAACACTTGGGTTGAATTAAAATTATGTATTTCTTTTCATTACACAAAACTTTGAGGATTCAAATTAAGATGTTTGTGTTCTTGGTCAGATTTATGTGGCTTACTTCTTTCTTTTCCCCTTAATTTTGGTTTGAGGTGTGGCAAGAATTTCCTCTAATATGAAAGGAAAACAGAACTAAATGAAACAGCATGTACTGATTACTGTTTTTATTTTCATTTTCATGCCAGAGAATTCTTCAAATTAAGGTCCCCTGTGACAAGGAGGCCAGTATCTTGGAAATTTAAGGAGGAACTCAGAATTGTCTTTAGTCCCTGGGTTGTCCAACATCTCATGCTCACATCAATGCTTTTGTTAAAGGAATCAGAATAAAAATATTTCATATCAAATTTATTCTTTTGTTTTGTTTTTGGTATGAGAGATTAAATCTAGAGGTGCTTAAGCACTGAGCCTTTTTAAAAACAACAACAACCAAAAAAAAAAAAAACCAGGTCCTCATTAGGTTGTTTAGACTTCATTAAATTGCTGAACTTGGCTTTGAACTTACATTTCTCCTGCCTCAGCCTCCTAAATCACTGGGATTATAGGTGTGAGCCATATGACTGGCTCAAATATATTTTTTAAATGCAGTAGATTTTCATTGGTTTCACAAATTAAAGATATAACTTTTCCATACAAAAATCGATACCTTCTTTTCTATTAGTTATCCCTTCTCTCATCTTGCTCCTGAATATACTCATTAGAATGCCTAATGACCTTTAAAATAAAAATGAATCCTTTACTGTGGTAGTCTTTGCCTTGCGCTTTGAGGGTATGTCTGATTTCTTCTGGTATTGAATAAGGTGAAATGAAAAGATTCTGTGGCCTGATAACTATTGCCTTTATTTTACAGATTTAGAAAATGTCCCCATTTTACTGAGCACTCCCTCCTAAAGAGTAACAGCTAAGGAGCTTGCTTAGATGCTAAATTTTTGTGCTAATGTTTTCATATTGAAACAGAGTTAACTTGTATCTCTTGGCAGTGGGACCTGTGTTCTTTTGGGGAGGGAGGATTCTTTCAAGCTTGAGCAAATAAGGTAAAGTAAACCTTGGAGTTCATTTTAAGTTCCTAAAACCATGTTTTCTATTAAGATTTTACATAGAACTCACAGATTTATTTTGTTATGTTTCAGATTTAAGAAACATATACAGCGTTTCAATATTGTAAAAATCTAGCCTATTATTTGAGACATTGGTATGTAAAACGTGGCAAAACATTTGGGCCAAGATTCCATTTTGTTACTGATCTTTTCCATATGTTTCCTATTAGTATCTTTGTTCTTAAACCTCAGGCTTCCACACAAGGAAAAGAGAGCAGATCTGTGTACTTTTTAAAAAAGTTTTAATGTTTCCACAGTTCTTTGGAAGATTAACTTAAAATTAACCACTTTATTTTTATATAATTCTTCATTAACTAGATGATTTGAACTTATAGTATTGATTATGTTGTTCATGTTCCCAGCAAATGTGGAAAAATATTTAATGAATACATAGCTAGAGTGCATAGAATCAAAACTGTCTAAAATTTTAAACTAGGTTGGCAGTGTTTAGGAGATCTAAATTGGCAGTGGTTGGAAATAGAGGGAGATGATGGTTAGAGTCAGACCTTCCAGGAAAGTAGGAGCTGTGAATGATACTTGGTGACCAGTGATTTAGTTCATTGGTTTTAATTGTGATAATTGGGAAGTCAGCTGAATTGGTGAATAATCTAAATTATATGTTATAATTGTAATTTGATTAAAGTGCATATAGTATCTCAAAGTGAATAACATTCAGCTAGGAAAGTGAGACCTGCTTAATTAATTAATATAATAGGCATAACATGTTTTTATTCATTTGTTCATTTATTCAGCTCTTTTTTTTTAATTGAACACCTACTGTGTATAAGGCAGTTTTAGATGCTGGGGACTTAGCAGTGATATCATAAAGGAGGAAATCAGAAACTAAGCTTTTATCAAGTGGTGTAGAGTGCAATCAAGGAGAATAAAACAAGGAGAGGGATAAAAACAGATGAGACGGAGGAGTATGTGGGTATACCCATATACTGGGCACTTGTGAACTGGAATGGAATGTTTAAGTTATTTATTATAAGGAAGATGGTAGGAGCCAGGCTTCTCACTGTTGAAGTGGGAAGTAACAGATAAGCAAGGGCAGGAGGTAAGAATGGTCCACATCATGGTGGATTAGAGTTGGATGCAGTAATATAACTCATATTTAGCTAAATATACACACAGATGGTTACGTATTGAGATATTTATAGATACATGTACTTACATGAGTTAGTAGACACATGTGTATCTCCTTGCTGAAACTGAAAGGGTCTAGAATAAAAGATAGCCCAAGAGCAATGAGCACACCTAGTAACTAGATCTTGGCTTTTTTCTTTGTCAGTATGTTAGGCAAGCAGTCTACCACTAAGTCACATCCCAAGCCCCAGATCTTGTTTTCTAATACCATTCTCCAATAAAAGGAACCAGGGCTACTCCTTTGGAAAATGGCTGATTCCAGGAGGACTGAGGGAAAGAACAAGATGGGCCTGGAGCTTTGGATAGCACTAGCAGGAAGTATTCAATAAAGAAAGGGGTCTGGAAAGTCTTTATACCTGTTGCTCAGTTTTGCTGTGAACCTAAAACTACTCTAAAATGTTATTTATAAATTTAAAAAGTAGGAAGCAGACACTATTTTAGGAAGTTTAAATATTTAGGTCTTCATATTGTAAGGGAGCAAGCCAAGAGGACAAAAGTAAAACTGACACACCTCACAAGTTTTCTTTCCTTCATTATTCACTTTTTCTATAAATGGTGCCTCCCCATCCCAGCCCCACCTTTTTTAGGTAAGTCAGAAGTTTAGGAGTCCTCTCAATCAGTGCTTCCTAAAGTGTAGTTAAGAGAGCCATCAGGATCAGAATTACCAGGGATTCTTTTTAAAATTTTAGGTTCTAGCATCTTTACACCTGGAGAGGTCAGCGTGGGTAATTTAACAAATATGTACAAAGTATACGTATACACTGAGCTATACCCTGTCCCTACTGTGAGTCCTTTGCATGTCCATATAATCTGGAGGGTTGGTGTGTCCATTTCTACTGATCAAGTGCGGGTATTTCAGCAGTGCTTATTTTGTTATTGGCATATAGTATGGACTTAGTAAATACTGGGTGCTCCTCTTCTTCTTATCATCATCATTATTATTAAGATTTTCTACTATTGTGAAGTGACTTAGATACTTTATAAATATACGAAGCATAATTTTTGTCTGTTTTCAAATATTTCATCCCTTCATTTTCCCAAGTATTTTTTAGCAGTCCAGCCATATGTTAGAGTTTTTGCTTGTAGTTATTTGTCATTGTTCGAATTTTTAAAATATGATTAGTGTTTTAAGATTATTTTAAAATATATCTGACTTTGTTGTTTTTATTTCAGACTTCTAAAGCATATTAGAATAAGACTGCCCTCCCATGGTAAAAATTAGGTAATTCGCCCTGTAAATTTAATGGGCTAATTTTTTTAGTGGGGGAGCCAGGGAGGAGGGCACTTTGAAATGTATCTTTTAACAAATATGTTGGAAATAAGAGAGAAATTATTCTGTGGTTTCTAAATGGACAAAGCTTGTTGGACCCCTGTAGCTATAGAGTCAGAGTAGCCAACAAGCCCAGGTGGTCTGGTCCCTATAGCTTGTCACTTATCAGTGGTCTGTGGTCACCTTTCTTTTTTATTTTTTTCATATGTATTTTCTAGTTATTGATGGACCTTTATTTTATTCACTTATTTATGTGTGGTGCTGAGAATCAAACCCAGTGTCAGGCAAGTGTGCTACCACTGAGGCACAACCCCAGCCCCCTGAGGTCACCTTTCTATCTGTGGAGTTGTTTTTCATCTTACGAGATGGATGTAAATGTGGCTACTCCATATCTAAAATTGTATTGCACCTTTGGCTTTTTGTCCCACCTTTTCTTTGGCTTCCTGTCATTTTAGGGGATGCCTTTTCATGTCTAATCCTCTTCTTCAATTCCATGTTTAAGTACTTGGAGTCACCCTTGAGATTTATTAGTTTCAGTATTAATGGATTAATCTCCATATGAAGACGTAGAGATTGAGTTTAATATTATTAGACTCAGTCTCAATGGATTAGTCTCCACGTTTTCTGTGGAATTATATAATATTGCTACAAGTACCCTTTAGATGAAAGGAACTCTTTGACTTATTCATAGTAGTAAATTGATGGGAAATATGGGTGGGAGCAGAGGATACATATATAGATCTAGGAAATAGAATTTCTATTACTTACATTTATTCAAGCTAATAGTTGTTAAATAAATTGATTATGGAGAAATTTGTGAGATGAGAGAAATTTTTATATTGTTGGCAATTTTTTGCAGTATGTCTGGAGCAAGTGAACAGCTATGGTGGGCCTTGGGCAAGGGAAAATAGAAGGGGAAAAGAAGGGGCTTTTGATGCTATGAAGTGGGAAGATGGGTTTTCAGATATTACCATTTCTCAGAGCTTAAGTTATGGGTCACTAATCCTTTTAGATTATATGGAAGAGAAGTTAATATGTTCATTTTTGAATAATGTTAATTTAGTTTTAAAACCAGGTTGAATAAGCTAACTCAGCTCCTACTACATTAAGAAATGTTTTAGTGGCTTTTGGAGAACTTTTATAGTTGTGTAATTCACTAAGTGCAGTTTGAGGACTGATAACTTTATGTCATTGCCTCTGACTCCTATAGAAAGTGAGAATATCATCTTCTTTCCTAGTACAAACAAATTAAGAGTTACAACATTTTGCTCTGGTTCATCAGCATCTCAAATGACTCGCAACTGCTTGAAGTGTCCTCTGGGAGGGTTAGTGGAGAGCCTACTCTCATTAGACCTGCACGCAGAAGCTTCCTGAGCTTGAAAGCACCCCCACTGGTAGATGCAGCAGTCTCCATAGGCACAGCCCATCAAGCACTATTGATGATGAAGAACTTTTTGAGTTACATTTCCTGTGTAAGAAATTCCTTGTCCCCTTGCCTTGGTTGGTTGTAAGTCAGAACCCCAGATGAGGATA